TTTTATCTCTACATAATTAACTCTCTTTCAATTAGAAAGAAGGAATCATATATAGCCGCAACTCTTTTTTATTAACGCGATTAAGGAAGCTTTCAGGGCAAGCCCATCTTCAGCTAATTATAGTGTACAAACAAGGAGATATTATATATCGTTTTAATATAAAATAAAATAAAAATAAAAGAAAATTACCACGCCCCTATCGCACTTCGTTTCAATAGCAACCGCGTGGTGGCCCACCTCCATGTCTCTGATCCTAACTTCAAATATAATATAGTACAAAAATATCTTAAAAGAAATTTACGTAATTGAATAAATATAAAGAATCAACTATAAACAGTTCAAAGGATTTAGTGGAGACTTTGAAGATTTTTAGAATAGAAGGGGAACGTACTGTGATGCAACTGTATACTTTTGTTTTGATGGTTTAGGGTGCTTCATGGTTTCTATTGCTTCAAGAATGAGTCTTTGGGTTTTAGTTTTGGCATTTGTATGGAGGAATCTGGTATTATTGAAGTCTGGAGTGTGTCCGGTTTCTCTGACGTGGTCAACTATTAAGGAGTTTGGGTTTAGTTTAGAGATGTTTCTTTGGTGTTCTTGATTCTGATTGAAAGGTCTCTCTTGATATCTCGCCGATGTAGACACTATTGCAGTTGAGGCAGGGAATTGGTAAACTAAATCTTTTTTTCTGTTTCTGGTCGGTGCTTTTGTTGATTGGGTTTCTTAGAATCGAGGCCATGGAAGGTGAACCTCTGAAGATGGTTTTTATGCCAAAACTTTTGAGTTTGCGGGCTATTGTAATTGTAGATTCTGTATATGGTAAGTAACAGGTGGAGATGTACTTTCAATAATTGCAGTAACTGAGTAGTTATTGAATGAGAGTTAATCCTGTCTATAGATTCACTAAACACCCCTAAGCTGTCTTCCTTAGAAATAACACGGTATATAACAAAACCAATCCAATACAATAGTAGAGCGGTCTGGAGATTATTTTGGCGAATCCGCTGAGAGGGTTCACCACTGATGAGCCCTCTCATTAAAAAAATAATAATTTCATTACAGTAAGGTCTGTAGAAATAGAAATAAACATATTGCCAAAATATATTGTTGCAGATTTTAAAATAATTTTATTGACACTCAAAATCTAGAGAGTGCAACGTTCAGATGTTTAATTAAAGGGAGAGACGCCCCATTAGGTGCATGAATCCTTCCGCAACCTTTATGTTGTATGTATACCTAAGTATACCTAACATAATGTACTCACTAATATATATCACAAACATAACAATGCACACATGTATACACATATATATATATATGCTTGAAAATAGAGCAATCCATATATTACAATATTTAAAAATGCCTATTTTGGATCATAAAGTTTTTATTTCCGATATTTCGTGAGGCAACTCGCCAAACTTCCTCTGGGAACAAAATCGCTTTAGAGAAGCTCGCGTATCATTCCGCGAGTATATACAACCGCTATAAAAATTTAAATATCTAGAATCTACAATATGCATGACTCTATGAATAATAAACAGGACCACATACCAAATTTCGACTCAACAGAAATAATATATCAAAATATCAAGGATAAACATTCAAGACTTTTTCTAGAAAGCTGGAGCTCAATAGAAGATAAAAACAGTATCAACCGAAAAATAGACATTCCTCAACTATACTTACAATTTAAAACCACATAGCCCACTACTATACACGTATATATGTATATATATGGCAAATTGCTGATTTTCAATTCGTTTATTTTAAATGTATATATTTACTTAATTCTATATATATTAGTGTTTTACATATTATATTATTATTGATTATTATATTCATAGAGGCATGCATATTGTAGATTCTAGATATTTAAATTTTATAGCGGTTGTATATACTCGCGGAATGATACGCGAGCTTCTCTAAAGCGATTTTGTTCCCAGAGGAAGTTTGGCGAGTTGCCTCACGAAATATCGGAAATAAAAACTTTATGATCCAAAATAGGCATTTTAAAATATATATATATATACATACATATCTCAATATAATGCGGCTTGTGATTGTAAAGCGACATTTTAAAATTATTCCGCATGTGTTTCTTTTCAATGAAAAATCAAAATTTATTTCAAGGAGAAATAACGACTATTTCCAACCTGGGATGAGGTATGAAAGGGTGAATTTACAATCACAAGCCGCATTATATTATATTGTATTATAAATTACTTTATGTATTATTTACGAACGGAAAAATATGTCCAGGGTAGCCTAGTGGACATGACATCTGCCCGGTAAGCGGAACAGTGTGGGTTCGATTCCCATCCCTGGACACTTTTATTTTTCCGTTTATCATTACTCTTCACAATTCACCCCTTTCATACCTCATCCCAAAGGTTGAAAATAGTTGTTATTTCTCCTTGAAATAAATTTTGATTTTTCATTGAAAAGAAACACATTCGGAATAGTTTTAAAATGTCGTTTTACATATATATATCTGTTAGGGCATATGTGTGCATTGTTTATGATAATGTACACATGCATATCATATGTGTGAGTGTAGTCTAAAAACTAGAGATTAACGGAGTTAAAATGATATAAAAATGTACATTGATGTAAATTGAGGTTTCAATATTTCAAAATAAAACCTCGACGTGTTTAGTTTACAATCATCTGATAGATGGCGCCATTGACCTGTTGCCAACAGACGAAGACACTACGTGGAGTACTTCGAACCAGTTGTATTTGGAAACTCCTCCATTTTGTCTCCAACTGCGGCTCAAACTCGCGACGTTCGAGATCTGACACCAATCTTCTTGATGGATGAAATAGCATTCTACGGCATGAATACAATGGTCACTTTTCTTTTAGGGCTTGCTCCAACAGCAGCTCAACTAGGCTCTGCACAAGACAATCGAACTGCCACTTTGATGGAAGGTGCACTCAGCCTTTAGACCCGCTACCCGCCAGGTCTAACCCGGTTCTGATGTTGTTAGGTCGAGAGACTTTTGAAACCTGGTGCACTCGACAGAATATATAGGTGTACTCGACAGAATATATAGGTGTACTCGACAGAATATATAGGTGCACTCGACAGAATATATAGGTGTACTCGACAGAATATATAGGTGCACTCGACAGAATATATAGGTGTACTCGACAGAATATATAGGTGCACTCGACAGAATATATAGGTGTACTCGACAGAATATATAGGTGTACTCGACAGAATATATAGGTGCACTCGACAGAATATATAGGTGTACTCGACAGATAATATAGGTGTACTCGACAGAATATATAGGTGCACTCGACAGAATATATAGGTATACTCGACAGAATATATAGGTGCACTCGACAGAATATATAGGTGTACTCGACAGATAATATAGGTGTACTCGACAGAATATATAGGTGCACTCGACAGAATATATAGGTGCACTCGACAGAATATATAGGTGCACTCGACAGAATATATAGGTGCACTCGACAGAATATATAGGTATACTCGACAGAATATATAGGTGCACTCGACAGAATATATAGGTGTACTCGACAGATAATATAGGTGTACTCGACAGAATATATAGGTGCACTCGACAGAATATATAGGTATACTCGACAGAATATATAGGTGCACTCGACAGAATATATAGGTGTACTCGACAGAATATATAGGTGTACTCGACAGAATATATAGGTGCACTCGACAGAATATATAGGTGTACTCGACAGATAATATAGGTGTACTCGACAGAATATATAGGTGTACTCGACAGATAATATAGGTGTACTCGACAGAATATATAGGTGTACTCGACAGAATATATAGGTGTACTCGACAGAATATATAGGTGCACTCGACAGAATATATAGGTGTACTCGACAGATAATATAGGTGTACTCGACAGATAATATAGGTGTACTCGACAGAATATATAGGTGTACTCGACAGAATATATAGTGTACTCGACAGAATATATAGGTGCACTCGACAGAATATATAGGTGTACTCGACAGATAATATAGGTGTACTCGACAGAATATATAGGTGTACTCGACAGAATATATAGGTGTACTCGACAGAATATATTGGTGTACTCGACAGAATATATAGGTGTACTCGACAGAATATATTGGTGTACTCGACAGAATATATTGGTGTACTCGACAGAATATATAGGTGCACTCGACAGAATATATAGGTGCACTCGACAGAATATATAGGTATACTCGACAGAATATATAGGTGTACTCGACAGAATATATAGGTGTACTCGACAGAATATATAGGTGTACTCGACAGAATATATAGGTGCACTCGACAGAATATATAGGTACACTCGACAGAATATAGGTACACTCGACAGAATATATAGGTGCACTCGACAGAATATATAGGTGCGCTCGACAGAATATATAGGTGTACTCGACAGAATATATAGCTGCACTCGACAGAATATATAGGTGTACTCGACAGAATATATAGGTGTACTCGACAGATAATATAGGTGTACTCGACAGAATATATAGGTGTACTCGACAGAATATATTGGTGTACTCGACAGAATATATTGGTGTACTCGACAGAATATATAGGTGCACTCGACAGAATATATAGGTGCACTCGACAGAATATATAGGTATACTCGACAGAATATATAGGTGTACTCGACAGAATATATAGGTGTACTCGACAGAATATATAGGTGTACTCGACAGAATATATAGGTGCACTCGACAGAATATATAGGTATACTCGACAGAATATATAGGTGTACTCGACAGAATATATAGGTGTACTCGACAGAATATATAGCTGCACTCGACAGAATATATAGGTGCACTCGACAGAAAATATAGGTGTACTCGACAGAATATATAGGTGCACTCGACAGAATATATAGGTGCACTCGACAGAATATATAGGTGTACTCGACAGAATATATAGGTGCACTCGACAGAATATATAGGTGTACTCGACAGAATATATAGGTGTACTCGACAGAATATATAGGTGCACTCGACAGAAAATATAGGTGTACTCGACAGAATATATAGGTGCACTCGACAGAATATATAGGTGTACTCGACAGAATATATAGGTGCACTCGACAGAATATATAGGTGCACTCGACAGAATATATAGGTACACTCGACAGAATATATAAGTGCACTCGACAGAATATATAGGTGTACTCGACAGAATATATAGGTGTACTCGACAGAATATATAGGTGTACTCGACAGAATATATAGGTGTACTCGACAGAATATATAGGTGCACTCGACAGAATATATAGGTACACTCGACAGAATATATAGGTGCACTCGACAGAATATATAGGTATACTCGACAGAATATATAGGTGCACTCGACAGAATATATAGGTGCACTCGACAGAATATATAGGTGTACTCGACAGAATATATAGGTGCACTCGACAGAATATATAGGTACACTCGACAGAATATATAGGTACACTCGACAGAATATATAGGTGCACTCGACAGAATATATAGGTACACTCGACAGAATATATAGGTACACTCGACAGAATATATAGGTGCACTCGACGGAATATATAGGTGCACTCGACAGAATATATAGGTACACTCGACAGAATATATAGGTGCACTCGACAGAATATATAGGTGCACTCGACAGAATATATAGGTGCACTCGACAGAATATATAGGTGTACTCGACAGAATATATAGGTGTACTCGACAGAATATATAGGTGTACTCGACAGAATATATAGGTGTACTCGACAGAATATATAGGTGTACTCGACAGAATATATAGGTGTACTCGACAGAATATATAGGTGTACTCGACAGAATATATAGGTGTACTCGACAGAATATATAGGTGTACTCGACAGAATATATAGGTGTACTCGACAGAATATATTGGTGTACTCGACAGAATATATAGGTGTACTCGACAGAATATATAGGTGCACTCGACAGAATAAATAGGTGCACTCGAGAGAATATATAGGTGTACTCGACAGAGTATATAGGTGCACTCGACAGAATATATAGGTGTACTCGACAGAATATATAGAGGTACTCGACAGAATATATTGGTGTATCGACATAATATATAGGTACACTCGGCAGAATATATAGGTGTACTCGACAGAATATATAGGTGCGCTCGACAGAATATATAGGTGCACTCGACAGAATATATAGGTGTACTCGACAGAATATATAGGTGCACTCGACAGAATATATAGGTGTACTCGATAGAATATATAGGTACCCTCGACAGAATATATAGGTGTACTCGACAGAAATTATAGGTGCACTCGACAGAATATATAGGTGTACTCGACAGAATATATAGGTGTACTCGACAGAATATATAGGTGTACTCGACAGAATATATAGGTGTACTCGACAGAAATTATAGGTGCACTCGACAGAATATATAGGTGCACTCGACAGAATATATAGGTGTACTCGACAGAAATTATAGGTGCACTCGACAGAATATATAGGTGTACTCGACAGAATATATAGGTGCACTCAACAGAATATATAGGTGTACTCGACAGAATATATAGGTGTACTCGACAGAATATATAGGTGCACTCAACAGAATATATAGGTGCACTCAACAGAATATATAGGTGTACTCAACAGAATATATAGGTGCACTCAACAGAATATATAGGTGCACTCAACAGAATATATAGGTGCACTCAACAGAATATATAGGTGTACTCAACAGAATATATAGGTGCACTCAACAGAATATATAGGTGCACTCAACAGAATATATAGGTGCACTCAACAGAATATATAGGTGCACTCAACAGAATATATAGGTGTACTCAACAGAATATATAGGTGCACTCAACAGAATATATAGGTGCACTCAACAGAATATATAGGTGCACTCAACAGAATATATAGGTGTACTCGACAGAATATATAGGTGTACTCAACAGAATATATAGGTGTACTCAACAGAATATATAGGTGCACTCAACAGAATATATAGGTGCACTCAACAGAATATATAGGTGTACTCGACAGACAGAATATATAGGTGCACTCGACAGAATATATAGGTGCACTCAACAGAATATATAGGTGTACTCGAAACAATACAGAAGGTGCACTCAGATATAAAGCAGGAAGGAAAATTGCGGAAGCTGCACGTCTAGTAGCTCGGGGAGGAGAGGGGATGGTTGCCATGGAAACCCCGGTGCAGCGGCCATTGCTTCCTGCCCAACTGGCGCGGACTTCCGCCTAAAACGTCCGTTCACCGTTCTGACAAATCTCGGTCCACGTCGGTTACACCGAGCTATTGGCA